CTCTGTGAAATGAATGTAGCTGAGTATGGATCCAATTTCTTCATCTACCATTCCCAAATCTAAAATATTTGAACCACCAATCTACAACCACCCTAGCAAGCTGCAGCCACCCTAACAGTCCACAACCACCTTAGCAATCCATAACCACCCAATAGCCAATTTTATAATCATTCCCCAAATCTAGAAAAACTAAACCAAAGCAAAAGGGAAAAATGAAAAAAAAAAGCAAGGGAATGGGCAGGTAAGAGGAGTAGTTGTATGCAATAAAGAAGTTGTAGAGCTCCTAAGCCAAAGAGAAGACCATATCAATGATGAAGGCTTTAAGAATTTGTTTAGATAAAAGTTAATAGAGGAAGGGAAGGAAAAAAAAGAAAGAAAGAAATGGTGAAGAGAAGAGAAAAATTGATATTAATTTTGTTTAAATAAATAAAAGTAAAAAATAGAAAAGAATAATATATTTATTAATTTAATTAAATAATTTTAAGGGAAAACGAAAATTTAGGACTTTCTGGCAAAAAATTGCAAGGAAAACTTTAAAAAAATGTTGTCATTTTGTTAAAAAAAGAACCACAAAAAATAGCACTCAAGCCTTTAATAGAAACTCTTCAAGGGTCCACGTGCTCAAGCCTTAATAGAAACTCTTCAAGGGTCCTTAAACAATCAAACCTCTTCATCTTCCACTTAACGACTGATATTCTTTTCTACTAGTTGTGCAACCAGCTCCTATTCCTCTCAACTTTGTTTGGTGCAAGAAAAAGCCTAAGCTGAGATTATTACGAGTTAGTTTCTTTATTTTTTGATAAATTTTTAGCACTAAAAGCATAAGACAATGCGGTTGATGTTTGGTATGTTATTGTGGTTTTGATTGCATTTAATAGCTCTTTATCTTGTGTTATGTTAACTTAAATTTGATGAATTTTGACAAAAATTGCTATAAGAGATTTGAATGCTAGATTTAAAGTTGGGTCAAGAACAAACACCAACAAAACTCACTCAAAACAATTTGTCAAACACCTATCATGCATAACCTCAAGGAATACTATTCTTTTAGACATCTACTCCTCATACCCCAAAAAATAAAACAAACAAACCAAGCAATTCTAGAACAAACATATAAGCAATTCACACCTTAAATGACTAACTTGAACCACAACCAATAAAGTTTGAAGAATGAGAGAAAAGGTCAAGTTAACTTCACCCTAGGTCGATTTGAAAGAACACTATGATTGATTGAGCTTCTGTTTTTGCTATATTTGATTTGGCTCAAGTTTTTAGCAAGTTTGAGCCCAAGATTCTTAGTGCCATGCGAGAGAAACAGATTTGAGGATGAGTTAAGTGTGGGTAAAAGGAGGAATTGGGATTTAGTAAAAAGGGCAGAACTTCAAGAAAAAGGGGACCAAAAGTGCTACTATGTTTTTCTTTTTTAACAAAATGAGGCTTGAGTTTTCAGCAAGTTTGAGCCCAAGATTCTTATTGCCATGCGAGAGAAAAGGATTTGAGGATGAGTTGAGTGTGGGTAGGAGGAGGAATTGGGATTTAGTAAGAAAGGCAGAACTTCAAGAGAAAGGGGACCAAAGGCGCTACTATGTTTTTTTTCTTTTTTAACAAAACGAGGCTCGAGTTTTTAGCAAGTTTAAGCCAATGTTTTCAAAATTGAACCGGAGGTCAAACCATTTTGACGTTCGATTCATGGTTTTGATGGTTCAACTGGTTTAATCGGTTAAAAAACCAGGTTGATTAAATTTTGAAAATATATATTAAATGTAATATAATGCAACTCATGTCAAAGAATTACTCGTGGCGCTAGTGGTCAGAACTTTAATTTCATTGAGGAGATTTACAATTTGAATCTCACGAGCAGTAAAGTTGTTCAATTTATGTAATTCTACCAGAAACATATCTTAATGCATAATTTGACAACTTGAATCAAATCAAGTGGCATGAATCTGGTTGAGCATCCAAGAGGGTTAGTGTTCAAACCTCATCGAAGTCATTTTCCCTTTAAAATCTTTGTAACATTCGTTAAAAGATATTCTTTGCAACTTACCTCACAAAAGGCGAGGTGGCCAAGTGGCAAATGGCTTGCTAACCCTTCATGAGACCTGGTGTTCGAAACCCAGTGGAGACAAATGTAGGAGAATTTCATCCCAAGAGTTGACCCAATTGGTTTGACGGGTTATTGGTTCTCATCGTTTGGACGATTTGAGAGGTTTTAAACAATTCAATCACTTAAACCAATGTTTTTGGGCCTAGCCCGGTGGCTGGCCCGTTTTGACCACCGAGCCCAGTTCAATTAGTTGAACCAATTCACCCGACCGGTTCAACCGATCAACCAAAAAAGTTTTTTTTGACATTTTTGTTGAATTTTACTTTTGTATATTACTTTCACTCTATTTTTAAAAGATAATCATCATAAGATCAACTTAAAAATCGTCATTTAACTAATTTACAATAATAAATTCAATTAAATACATATAATTTTTAAATCAAAACTAACAAATATTAAAATATATAATATAAAATAAATTCACCAATCATGACAATAATGAAAAACTCAATCTTAAACTAAATTTACTACAAAATAAATACTAAATATAACAGACAATCTCAAATCAAATCCACAAATCCACTACAAAATAACAAGTCTTGAATATATATATAAAAAAAATCTCAAACCAAATCCGTAACAAATATAAATGTTAACAGAGGAGAGCTATTGCAGAGGAGATGAGGAAAATTCTAATTTCTGCTGTTGCTTTTGGTTGGTGGAGCAGGAGAAGAAGGCAGCAGTAGAGGAGATGAGGAGTAGAAGGTAGTTGTTGTTTAGTGGACAAGGAAGATTCTGATTTCTATTGCTGCTTCTGTTCGGTGGAGCAAGAGAAGAAGGGTAGCGACAAAGGAGATGAGGAAAGGAAGGAAGGCAGTGACGGGGGAGATGATCTATTTTGTAACAGTGTAACTTTTGTTTTGCTTTGCTGTTTCAGTTCAGTGAAGCAAGGAAGAGGTGATCAGTAGTCAATAAAAAAGATGAGGAGGAGGTGCTCAATGGAGGAGATGAGGTAGACGAAGAGATCTGAACAGAATAAATGAGGTAGATGAGGTAGATGAAGACGATCGATGGAAGAGAAGAAGCGCAGTGACGAAAGAGATGATTGACGGACGATTGACGAAAGAGAATATTTGTTCTTCTGCAGTTCTATTGGTTTTTGAGTTTTGCATTTGTTTCCCACTTTCCCGATTCTTAGGGTTTTTACTTTTTAGCTTAATTGATTTTTAATTTAAGTTAAAAACTTAAAATTAAAAAGTTAAAAAAATTAAAAAAGATTATGAAATTAAGCTCGGCTAGTTGTAGCGGATCACACAGGTTCAACAGGCGTGACGTGTGGGACGGGTTTCAACGGGTCATTGAACTAAACGGCTGAAGTCTTCAATTGGCCCGTTTTTAGGCTCGAGTTTGGTTCAATCGGTTCAACCGACCATGTTGAGCCAGGTCCAAAAACATTGGCTTAAATGATTTGAAATATTCACCCGAGATGTTTTTTCTACTGGGTGTCGGTCCAACCAGTTTAACCAATCAATCTGATTCGATTTTCAAAACCTTGATTTGAGCCCAAGATTCTTAGTGCCATGCGAGAGAAAAGGATTTGAGGATGAATAGAGTGTGGGTAGGAGGAATGGGGATTTAGTAAGAAAGGCAAAACTTCAAGAGAAAGGAGACCAAAGGCTTTATTGTGTTTTTCTTTTTTAACAAAAAGATGACATTTTTTTTAAGTTGTCCTGGTAATTTTTTGCCAGGAAGTATTGAATTTCCATTTTCCCTAATTTTTTTAAAAAATAAAATATTTAAAATTTATTAATTAAAAAAATAATTAATATAAAATATTTTTATATATTTAATTTTTAAAAAAAATTAAAAACAAATTAAATGTACAAAAGCCAATCTCTCCCCATCCCTATGATATGGAGGGATTGAAAACATTCC